ATAATAATAATAATAATATTAAGCATATAAATATTAAGTTTGACTGAACTGCTTAAGTCTTTTGCTTTAATCTAGTCTGCTCATGCGCAGCAGGTGTGGGGCTAGATGATATTGTCCGTAAAGCGACTGACCGTTGTTTACTCGCTTTCTTAATGTAAAAAGAAAAACGGTAACAATGCATGATGTAATAAAATATAAGCAATTATCTACTTAATCCATGTAATTAATGATTCAACCATTCATGTAGGAACTTCGAGAGCGAAGTTCTCATCAGAATGGCCGTGATAGCATTTTTATTTTGGCATTAATTAACGCCATCTACAAATTCTGCGTAAAATGTATCTATAAGTTGGCACTAGGTTCCTCGTAAAAAAATATAGATGTCTCTGTAAATCAGTCCGCTTTGCAACAGATTTTGTAAAACATAAATTTTATAAAATACATAATATCCGTTCATTTTTATGGTTTCATATAATTCTTATTTGAATTTTAATTGACTGTTTGAAATACTACATCACAATTAGGGGAATTATAAATTTTATTGGGGATTTTGTGGGGAATGGAGTCGTAAAATAACTAATTTGGGAATTTGAGTAGTTCTACGTGTGGGTAATTGGGAAAATAAGAGAGTTCATATTCCTCAATATCTGGCAGCAAGTAGAATTACAGAATTGTTTTTAGTGATTTCACGGCTTGGGCGAATATCGGCTACTTAATAAACATAAAGCGGCAAATAACTTTCGCAAAAGTCTAGCAACACTGACGACTATCAACGAGGTTATGCTGATATTGCTCATATAATTTTTAACTGTGAAGCTTTTGGTATGCAGCGGTCTTAGAGGATGGAAATAGGCAGCGGTTGATACTTGTCAGTGAATTAAGTGACATATCGGACGAAAACTCGTTAAGTGTTCCCCGCCACATACAAGACTTATTATCTTAAAACTGTATGAGTTTACTTTTCACCAAATTTTAGATTTATTCTTAGCACTACAGAAAAAATTAAATGTGATTACTTATAATTAGATAATAAGCATAATTTTCCTTGATAATTATTTTTATGTTTTCGGCTGAAGGTCTTTGTTTCCATGGCCAGCAATAAATTTAAAAAAAATCAACGAGGTTAGTTTTGCAATTGGATAAATAAAATATTATAAACAAAATCACCCACAAACAAATCAAAATATTCATTAAACACGAACGAGAAATATTCAACAGACTATGACGGTGGAATCCGAAAAAGTATTCAAAACTCAAAACAAGTTTCTAGTTAAAAGCGGCTGTAAAAAGCGTATGTGGAGATCATTGAAACAAATACTAACCGCCGAAAGAGCTTTACCATGGCCTAATGACGCAGTTTTATGTACGTATTCTCAGTTTTTTTTGCATTGCACTTACCTAATACATAATTATAATAAGATTATTGTTTGCTTGCAGTTTACTCTATAAACGCGCCACCAACGTTTAAACCTACCAAAAAGTATTCTGACATATCAGGACTTCCAGCCCCTTACGTAGATCGACATTCGAAGCTCTTCTACAGCAACGCTGAGGAGTTTGCGACTGTGCGAAATTTACCCATGGACATAACGGCAGGATACCTTCAACTTCGAGGTGCAAACACTGTAGTAGGATAGATAAAGGAAGGAAGAAGGAGATAGTTTGAAAGTTTATTTCTTTCGTGAAAATGTCTTTATGATGGTTAGTTTCTATAATTTTGAGAACTAGCACTATAGAGAGGACACAAGAAAGTTACAAAATCACATTCTTTTGAAGATGGAGCAGCAGCAGAACTGAAAAGTTAGTAGAATGGCAAGAAGTCCTTATACTTTGAGGCTGGTGACATGAAGAAAACTGATAAGTAACTTATAGCAGTTTGTCTAAATTGGTACTCATCAAAATAATATTAAAAAAAAAAAAAACAGATAGAACTGGGATAATAATATACTTTGTACAAATGAAAACTACCTACTGTTAAAAGTCAACTTTTGTTATAAATTCTTTTGTGGTTCATCTTTATTTATTCTCAAAATTTTACCCACATTCCAGCGTCTCCTGGATTGTTTAAGTAGTTACATGCCACCTAGGTTCGGGACATGTAACTTATTGTCTTTTGTCTTACAATAAATACCCTTGATCTCTTTTGACAACATTTACTTATAAAGAACAAACCTTTTTTTTATAATTTATGCTTACAATTCTAATACTATAATTAAATTAATTGATACTTAAATAGAGCTTACTCACTTGCATCTTCCTAAATACTTTTTACCATCTTATTGTGATATGGTATTTCATCATTTACTTCTACCACTTTTACTCTTGAGGATCTTTCACATTATTAGGATAAAATGTTTTAGGAGGCAATGTTTTGGTCTAAATTATATAGATTTTGTCACACAAATTATACCATTTACTCCCAATATTTTAATATAATAATGAAAGCAGGGCTGCCACAGCTGTCCATTGCAAAAAAAACCAACAAAGCAGGACAAGGATTTCTACAACTTTTGCTTTTTAAGTTGATTCAAATCTATTAAGAGTTGTATTGGTTGATTTTTTTTTTGTTCTTACTTGTGTTAATGAAATACGATTAAAATTGTTAAGCACATGCCACATCACGAACGAAGCTAGCTAACTTAGCTCACGTAATTGGATGCAAATCTAAGGTAAGGAAATACGTAGTAAGTAGTGACTGGGTACGTGCTAGCTAGCGGGAACGTTGAGTTATTTTAGTTAGCTCGTTTAGCAATTAGCTTAGTTCGCGGTGCCGAACCGAAGTATGAAAAGATGCCACGGCTACGTGAGCTAAGCTAAGTTAGTTTAGCTTCGTTCGCGTTGTAACCTGCGCATTATCGTTTGATGGAAAACCTATTAAGAGGAACTAATTTTGTTTCCACATTAAGCGCACGCCTCACTGTGAACAAAGCTAGCTAACTTCGCTTAACTCACGTAGTTGCACGCAACCAACTATGCCAGCTAAGCTAGCTTGGCTCACGTAGTTGCATGCAAAGATAAGCTAAGAAAATACGTAGCAAGTATATGTGGCTATGGATACGTTGGATGCGGGGAAAGGGCGACATATCGACTGTGAACTGGCAATCAGTACTACCTCAATTTTGACAACTTTACAGGTGAAGAAAAAATTGCTTGCGTCATTTATATAGCATCTGGTTTATTAAATAAAATACGTAGTTTTTAAATATTTTTATTACACATGTATGAATGTCTTAGAGGATGGAAAAGTTTCCATAGTCTACGATGAATGTACACTACGTACGTATTTTTAATTAATAAACCAGATGCTATATAAGTGATTTTTTCTTCAAACAAAATTGAGACAGTACTGGTTGCCAGTTCACAGTCGATATTTTGAATTAACTAGCGGAATCGTTGGGTTAGTTCAAATTAGCTCGGTTAGCTTAGTTGTTCGCGGTGTGAACCGAAGTATGTAAAGATGTTACATAGGCACGCACTATAACTTTCCGGAACTGGAACTTTAACAGCTCAGCGGAGCTTTGCTCGGCTTCAAACTGCTTTTGGTGATGAAGCACCATGCAAGACGACTATTTATAGCTAGTTTGCAGAATTCAAACGCGGTCGTGTGAATCTCAGTAACTTACGTCATTTTAGAAATTTGGTTGTCTACATGACCATGGATTTAAGTCGTGATAATTTTCGTATGATTTTCTACGACTCTGAGGGTCGAATTCCAGAACTCTACTCAATGCTCAAGTCAGGATTTGAGTATGGTTTAAAGCACTCGAAATCATACTCAATTCCCTGCCATTAGGGTCGTATTTCCAGTGCTTGTGTTGCCAGTGCAATCCTGACTTAAGTATTGAATAGAGTTCCAGAATACGACTCTGAGGGTCGTATTCCAGAACTCTACTCAATACTCAAGTCAGGACTTGAGTATTGCAGTGAGCACTGAAAGTCATACTCAAGTCCTTGCCATTAGGGTCGTATTTCCAGTGCTTGAAATCATACTCAAGTCTGCTCAAATCCTGACTTGAGCATTGAGTAGAGTTCTGGAATACGACCCTAAGTGTAATTGAACAGCTCAGCGGAGCTTCGCTCGGCTTCAAACTGCTTTTGGCGATGAAGCACCATGCAAGACGAGTTTTTGTAGCTGGTTTGCAGAATTTAAACGCGGTCGTGTGAATCTCAGTGACGAATTTCGTGATTGTCGCCCGGCGACTGCTGTGAACAACAAAAACATCGATGCTGTGTGCCGTATGATCAAAACAAACAGGCATGTGACATACCATGAGATTCTTTAGGCATAGGCATGAGTCTAATACAATCAATACTACACAAACATTTGGGTGTGAAAAAGCTGTGCTCTCGGTGGTACCACACAATTTGACTGAGGCTCAAAAAACGGATCGCGTCACTTGGTGCAATGCCATGGTTACCAGATTTAATGAAGGGGCGTCAAATTTGGTGTGGGACATAGTAACAGGTGACGAAACATGATTTATAGTTACGATCCCAAAACAAAGCATCAATCGAGCGTATGGGTATTTCGAGATGAGCCGCAACCAAACAAAGTGGCGCGCGTGCCTCTAAGCGGATGATTGCTTCTTTTTTAATAAAACTTGACACGTGGCTACTGTTGCTTTGGAGAATCGTTGTACCGTGAATAGTGATTGGTTAACGACCATTTGTTTGCCGGAACTTATTTACAAACTCCGTAAAAATTACCGTAGACGCCGTATCATCTTGCACCACGATAATGCCAGTTCTCACACGGCCAGACAGACAAACGAATTTTTGAAAGTGAACAACGTTGACGTTATGAGCCATCCCGCGTACAGTCCCGACCTGGCACCTGGTGACTTTTATTCATTTAAAAAAATTAAGAACCAGTTACGCGGTCAACGATTTTCATCACCTGAAGAGATTGTCAAAGAATATGAAAAATATGTTTCATAGATTGTCACGGAGGAGAGGCATAAATGTTTTCGAAATTGGTTCATTCGTATGAAAAAGTGCATTAACGCTAACGGAGAATATTTTGAGAAACAATAAATTCATATCTGACCATTTATATAGTATTTTCTTCTTATTCATTCCGGAAACTTATAGTGCGCCCCACGTAGATGCATAGCTCTGTTCGCGGTGTGGCCTGCGCATTAGGTCCCAAAGTATCTCTGAGATAAAGTCGACCCTGGAAAAGTTAAAGGGTCCAAGTAATTTGTATAAATAAATAAATCGTGTGTTGTATTCTTTTAATATAAAAAAGTTTTAGCAAACTGTGCCCATCACGTTAAGTTGGCCTATTCCACTAGTCCCTACAAGCTGTCCCCACTGGTGGGAACAATTAGACATTTTAAAAATATTTCTTCGATTTAATAATCATGGGGATAATTATACAACAGTACTTTGGCTAAACATGCTATCTTCAGGAATAAATAAATAAAAAAAATATATAAAACGTCAAGTGCATTGACAATGACAAATTAGATAAAACGTGTGGATCGGGGTTTGTGTTGTGGTGGTGTTTTCTGAAATTTTTTGTGTTTTATAACGTTAAAATAAGTTTCAAGACATGTCTTCATCATTCTTCTTAAAAGGTAAATCAAGACAAATACGAAAGAGGAAAGGCGAAAAAATAAAGAAAAAACCTTCAAAAAAACAGAATGCTCCTAACCTACAAAATGGTCACGAATCTTCGGATAGTGACTTGAATATCAAGAAGTTTTCAGACGTAGAAGATTCCGAAAGCGATCAAGAGACTGCTGAGCAAAAGAAGTTGCGTTTAGCTAAGAAATATTTGGAGGAAATTGAAAGGGAAGAAGCCAAAAGAACAGAGTTGAAAGAACTTGATGATGCGGTCAAGAAACGTTTACAAAAGGATTATTTAGAGCAAAGGGGTAAACTGCACGTGGACGTCGCTGACACGATATCGTCGGCTGCCATCGATGTTAGACTGATTCGCGCGAAGGAGCATAGGTTAACCCTCACGTGTGTGTGCATTAGCAACAACGGGGAATTCGTATTTAGCGGAAGCAAATGTGGTAGCGTCATCAAGTGGGGCGTCAAAGAGAAAAAGAAACTGGGCTGCCTAACCTATAAAACTCACTCAAATTTTCTGAAACGCAGTATAACCTCTATAGCTGTAACTACAGATGCAAAATATTTGGCTACCTCTGACGAGTCTCCACACATTCAAATATGGGATCCTAATACATTGAAACATGTGCACACTTTCAAAGGACATAAAGACAATGTCACTGGTTTAGTTTTCAGGAAAAACACTCATGATTTATATTCAGCTAGTAAAGACCGATCTGTTAAAATTTGGTCATTGGGTGAGATGGCATACGTTGAGACTCTGTTTGGACACCAATCTTCAATAACTTCTATAGATGCTCTCGCCAAGGAAAGAGCCATAACAGCAGGAGGCAGAGACACGTCAGTCAGAATATGGAAGATAGTTGAAGAGTCTCAACTAATTTTCAATGGACCAACGGGAAGTTTAGATGAAGTAAAACTACTTGATGAAGATCACTTTGTGTCTGGAAGTGACAATGGCTCCCTATGTGTGTGGAGTATATTGAAGAAGAAGCCTTTGTGTAGTGTTTCTGAAGCCCATGGTTCAGAAAATGGAGTTCCACGCTGGATTGCTAGCTTAGCTACAATTTTAAATTCCAATGTTTTTGCTTCTGGATCCTATGACAATAGTATCAGACTATGGAAAATTTGCGATAATTATCACAGGATTGAACCTTTGTTAAGCATAGAAGTAAATGGTTTTGTTAATGGGATGCAGTTCACAAGTGATACTATGCAATTGTATGCAGCTGTGGGTCAGGAACATAAAGCTGGACGATGGTTTAGAACAGGAAGTGCCAAAAATGGACTGCTAGTTGTTAGTTTAAGTTTTAAATCATAACTAAAGTTTAAGTTTTGAATATTAATATAGTAATTTGATTACATTTTGCCTATTTTTACAACATATTATTTGATAGTTGAAATTGAAGCATGTGCCTCATTCATATCTGCCATCCGCTAACTAAAATGTGGCTAAGTGACAAATAGTCAAGTATCCATTTTAAATAGAAAAAATTAGACCACAAAATTCTCATTTAAAAACTGTTAAAATTAGTTAACATGTTCGACTTATCTGAACTTACCCTCACAATGCATAGTTGAAATATTATTAAACAATTTCAATATTCTAAAACTGGGTTATGGTTTTTAAGACATCTCAAAAAATTAATTTATGACTTAGCCATGTTTTAGTTAATGGGTGGCAGATATATGTAGGGTGGAATCGTGAGGCATCAACTTTTTTTTTTAAACTGTAAATGTCCATAATTTTAATGTTAAACACTCGCATACATTTAATACGACATACGAAAAGAGGCTTTAGTTAATCACTTTAAAGGTTTTTGATATATTTATTCTTATATTTATGAATTTATGGCCTGGGCACACTTAACGATTACACCTTGTGTAGTGAACATTGAAAGGTGCATACAAATCTAGTGATTGGGCCGGTTTGCGAAAGACTCGCGAACTGCACACGTGCATGATGTTACATGATCTGTCCGCGTACCGCTCGCGCGCATTATGAGATATCTTTACAGAGGCGCACTTAGTTGCACGCGTGTCAGTGTGTGTGCAGCGGCAGCGCTCGCGCAGCGCACTAGCTAGATCTGTACGCACCCTAATAACCCTATACAGAGAAAATTTATCTATTAACAAAAATTCTACCTGAATCTGGGTGTAAAATAGGCACCAACTTATATAATTGGTTAGTTAGGGAATAAAAACTTGCATATGAACACAACATTACAAATTGGATTGAAAACCAATAATGAAAATGTCGTGTTTTACATCTTTTGTGGCGAAGCCACTACTTACATGAACTTCCAATTAATAGTGGACAGACATAGATCAAACTGTTCAAGTCCTATAAACAATCTATATGTTATACCAGAGATTGTTGGTGCAGGTTTTTTCACACGATTTTTTATCTTAACATCAGCAGATGCTGATGCGGTTGCTGATTGTATCTATGCCCTTAGCCATATCACCACCGGCTGTTGTGGAAGTTTATTTTATCGTTGAACGAATGTCGTGTCTAGCTGTTCCCACTAGATCGTTACGACAATTTATCAATTCACAACAGACGCCTTGTCGTTTGCACGGCAGGATCGTTTGAAGCTGCGATTATCTGTCGTCACATTTGTAGCGTGACGTTTTATTTTGCGTCTGACGACTATCGTTTTAGCTCTTTCCGTCTTGTCGTCGTAACGTCAAAAAAAGTCGCGAACGACAGTTAATCGTATTGTCTTATGTGTGAACAACTTCATTTCAATATACAAGCCACACTTTAAACTGCACGACTATCTGTCGTCACGACACATAATGGGAACGCGCCTTTACTCTTACGGAGTACGCTTCCCTATAAAAGTTAGGTTCCATAAATAGAGCGAGTACCTCGAACCCAAATACCTCGAAAACGATACCAAACTTGCCATTATTCGAAAAATCATGCCCGCCATCTGGGATTTAGAAATGAGTGCCATAATCGTAATGAGCATCCCCAAATACCTCGAAAAGGATACCCATATGGCATTTTTTTTTTAAATCGTGTCCTCCATCTTGTGATTTACAAATAAGTGCTATATTCGTAATGAGCACCCTCAAATACCTCGAAAACGATACCCAACTTGCCATTATGCGGAAAATCGTACCCGCCATCTTGGATTTAGAAATGAGTGCCTATTTGTAATGAGCATCCCCAAATACCTCGAAAAGGATACCTACATATATTGCATTTTTTTGAAAAATCGTGTCCGCCATCTTGCATTTAGAAAAGTAGTGTTAGCCATAATGTATTCTGATATAAATGCCATTCTCATAAGGATTGCCAAAATTAAATTTTTGAAAATTCTTGGCAACCATCTTGGATTTAGAAATTAATACCACATTCTCATTAAGCACTCCCAAACAACTCGAAAACGTCTATAATTCTCGATGTCGATTATATTAATACGTTCAGGGTATCCTTTTTAATATTTTTTCTTCAGTTTTAATAAAACGAAAGTAACGTTTCTTCGTCAGAATCGATCGTGTAACCGAGTTGAAAGATAAAACATCACTAAAAATTCGGTCGCATTTCAGCAGCGCGGTTAATTTGAACGCGCCCTAAGCGTTTTAGTTCAGATAGGAATCCTTTCTAGCATTAATTACGGGACGAGCTTTGATTATCCATGAGCTCTCAAATGGGTTTCGTTATAAAGGGAACGGAATTCCGCCAGACAATTTCATAAACTAGGTGGAGATAAAGAATTTAAAAGGTGTCATTAAGAACGAAAACTTCAAACATTGGGTAAAAATGTTGTTTTTTGATGATAAATTGCCATTAGGCCCAACAGGTGGCAACTAATAATATTATTAATGGCATTAATTATACTATGGAATAGATTGTCGATACAACTATGATGCTCATTTGGTAGTCGTGGCGTCTGCATGAAGCTGAACTTTCAGGC